AATATATAACACTTGAAATTAGGTTAACACTTACACAATTTAGTGTGTAATATGTGTTTTAGAAAAAAAACTACTAAATACATATACTTTTAACATCCTGTTTTTGAGGCTAGAAATTTTGGGATTTTGGGTTAAAATAAAAACTTTCCTTAAATAAAATTAACTAATGGAAGTAAATGATTTATAATAATACCATACTAAACCTCATTACTAGTTTAAAGTAAAAATATGATGTAATTTTTGGTATTAAAATAAGACATTTCTAGTGAGAGACCAAAAGTGTCAAGATGGGGAAACTTATGTTTGACTTGAGAGTTGGCAAGCTAAGTGACTAGGACCAAATTTCTATATGTTATGATGGAGAAGGACTAAATATGAGATAATATAAGTTTTCAACTAAATAGGGGACCATATTAGAAAAGATATTAGGAGAATGGACCTAATGTGTTAATTTTCTCAAACTCGTGTGGCCGCATCACGATTGCTAGATCAACAGAGTGTGTTCCCGATACATATCAGATCTGGATATCAAAATTTTAATAGGTTTTCTTCTATATTTTCTACCATATTTCCCAATCGATTACCGTCTTATTTCCCCACTTAAACTCGATCATATCCTCTTAGTTCTCATGAAAACTTGAAGCTTGAAGTGTTTAGATGAAGCATTGCTCCAATCATTTCATCCCCTTTCTTAGAAGGTAGTTTTCTTCCCCTTTCTCCTTAAATTTTGTCTAGGGTTTATATGATTTTGTAAATCCAGGGTTTCCCTTCCATCTATGGTGTTCTTATGAGTTTTATGTTGTAATTTCCCTAGATCCATCTCCAAGCTCCAATTATCTAATAGTGATATATGTAAGATTTGATTTGTTTTTATGGGTTTTTCTTAACCTTGGATGATGAAATATGAATTTGATGTTCATTTTCTAGTTATGAGATTGATTTTATGCTTAGTGAATGTATTTAACTTCAATTCTATGATCCATTTGTCAACCTTTGACTTATGGTGAGATTTCATAGTTTATGGATCAAAGTTCAAGTTTCAATGGTGATTATTTGGATATTTTAAACCTAGGGTTCATAGATCAAGTTCATAGTTCCAAACAATGATATTGATGTTATGTCTAGATTATGCTTTTTAATTCAAATCCATGATCCATTTAGCGGTTCATGTCCCATGGTGAGGTTTTATGTATTTTGGTGCATCCTAACACATCAATGGTGATTTGAGGATATCTTAATCATGAATGCTCATTAACCCTTGTCTCATGTGTTACTATATTGATATGTTACATCTGCTCTTCTTGTGTTGGAGTCCTGTTAATGGTATCGGTTCTTTTTAATTTCATTTCATAAATCACACATAGTGATTTTGGTGTAAATTGAACTCTTTTGTGCTCGTAGAGCTTCTAGGTGAAACTGAGTAATAATTTATTGTTGAGTGATTTTTTCCAAGGAAATGAACCATTTTATATCCTTCTTATGTTCACTTGAAGTGTTATAACCTCTGTTTGAATTCCCCTGAGTTATTGAATTCGTTTTAAAGTTTATTGAAAGTTGGATGGCTAAATAAGAAAAAGAATATGATCATGTAATCTATTTAGTAGTTGTGATTCAACATAAGGGAGGAAACGATGCGTTCCATGTTTGTCATGTTTTTTTTAACTTTGTGATCTTATTATGCTTTGAGTCTAGCTCATTCATTTGGTCTCCTTTGGCTTCCATGATCCATAATACGACATTTAAGGAGTATTTTGAGCTTAGATTTATGAGTTGACCATAAATGGTATTATAGTCTTTTAACAAGTTTATGATGGTGATACTAGGTATGGACTTGTGTGCATAAGTTGAAGTGATATTGTTCAAGTAAAAAGTGTGTGGTTTTGCTAGCATTTGAATAAGGTGTGTACTTGGATGCATAAGTTGAAGTTATATTATTCAAGTGAAGAGTATGTGGTGTTGCTAGCATTGTACTAAGGTGGGTACATTTACCTTTGGACACTTATCCCCAATATATGGAGGTTTTACTTGCGTTTCCCATTTTGTGATAATATATGCATACATATAGCTTGTTTGGATACTAAATGTATACTATGTGTTTCCTTTCTACCTAATGGTATTGTTTATGATTCGTGGACATTCTTATTTTGAACCAAGGACATGCTTTTGTAAATGTCATTTATTAAAAGGGGATTTACCTTATTCTTGATATTTCGGGTCTATGTATCCTTTGATCTTTATTGTGAGTTATTGGGAGCATACATCAATTATCATTGATCTTGTGTTTTGAAAACTATATAACATATAATTGATTGCTATTTGCTTATATGTGCATATACTTGTTTGCATTCATGAAACAAGATTTTGAAAACTGATTTGATAATAAAAATTAATATTATCTATTTTGAAAGTGTTTTGACATCCTATTTATGCATACATACTAGGATGGGAGACTTGTGTGTTGAGTTATTGTGAGTATTTCTAAATAATCCTCATGTGAATATGTGGGATTGCTACCCCTTGTACGTGACTAGGGATCATCGCTACATGGTTCTTAGATCGATGGTGGGAGACCCACTTAAACGGCCTTATAAGAAGGCAGACCCTTCTTCCTAGAGAATATAGAGGTGGGAGATCCAGTCTCTAGAAACTTGAGAGGAGACCTCTCAAGTGTCCATCACCATTTATCGTTGTGAGATTAAGCTTATCAAGATTGACATGGGTTGTGATAGTTGCATGTATTGCATTATCTATTCGAGTTATTTCTTCTTAAAATAATTTTTGGAAAAGTATAAGTTTTTTTTGTTTTTGTTTTTTTTTTTTGTATTGGTGTTTATCAGGATTATCGAATCCGAGAGGGTGAACTAATATGAGTAATTATCGATACATATAATCTTGTTTGACTTGTTATTATTGAGATGTCTTGTTACAATGTAATTACCTTGCACGTTACAAAGTAATTACCTTGCATCGTTCCCTTTATTTGTGAAGTTAGATAGCATTTTATAGTTATGGCAATGTTCTTTGACTTAAGATATAATTATCCCTAACTTGAAGTTTTAAATGATGTTTTATGATTTTTTTAAGGTATGGATTTGTACATTTGGATATGAATTGGATGTTTATTGATATGCAACCTTATTATGTCTAACCCTGAAATGATATTCACGAGACTCCTAACCTAACCCGCCTCTTAATAAAAATTTGAAGGATAGATGATGTGAGTAGAAAGCTTAAAGGATTTAATAGCTTTTGGATTTTTAGAACTTTGGGTTTAATGTATTGACCTTTTAAACCTTAGTTTTGATATTTTTGATATTTGTTTCTCTCGTATTATTACAAACTAAACTTATTTTGGGACTATTATCCATATATTTGAACTCTGAAATATCTTTTGAATTAAACTCTATAGCCGACGATTTTACAAAACTTAAACTCTAAAAATATTTTTAAATAACTTTATTTAAAACTATCTTAAATAGGTCTTAAGAAAAATATTTCATTTTAACAATTCAAATATGATAAACATAATTTTCTATCTTAAACGTAAACACGTCCAACATAAATCTTCAATTTATTCCAATAAAAAACATGTTTTATAATTTCTCTAGACTATCATTTTAATACTATTGGTCATATATGAACTAGAAAAACAAACAAAATATGTTCACGAGTTTGATACTTATTCTTGGCTAAAAGAATAATTATTTTATATTATTGGTTAAATATTTATCCATGGTTAAAAAGAATCATATTCCACTTATCTCAACCGCCTCAAACCAAGCAAGAAAGATGTGACCCATCAAACTCTTACAAACCATTAAATTATGATTTCCAATTTCATTTTAATATTTTTACTTTTCAAAATTGTCCTAATATTAATTTAAGTATAAAAAATAATAAACGTAAACACCAAAACTATTATTATATAAAATTTAAAGAGCAATTTTTAAGACTATATCAAATAAGATTATATATTAAATTCAAAGTCATTTTTAGTAACAATAGGTTCTTTTGCTTAAAATGGAAATTACAAACAATGAAATTAAAGTTGTCAAAGGTCGGAACTTTTCATAAAATTGTTTTATGTTTTATAATATTAAGGTCAGATTTAGATTGAAAAATTCTACCGAATTACACTAGTCTTTAAATCTGCTCGCAAAATCTTGTTTATGTATTATTTATTGTAACTTGAAGTTGATTAATATATCGATGATGTTTTTGTTTGTGCAATATTTATTATGAGACTTCTTGAGACATGCGGCGTTCGTTTTCAAGTTGAATGAACAAAATTTTAAAGATTAACTATATAACAAAGACAAAGAGGCAAGCAAGATCATTTTTTGCACAAACAAGACTGTCATTGCTAGTGATTATTTATTTTTTGTTATAACTTGTTGATTACGACTACTATGATCGAGATTTTATTTTTTGCTTATAGCATCTTAAAATCAAGATCGATATATTAACAAACATAAATGAAACTAAAAAAAAGAGTTAAAATGTAATCTCTATATTGCTAGATAAACCTATCTTACAAAAATCTTATTAGTCTTTTAAGCGTTTTAGGTTTGAAGTCTTTACTTTATTTATAAGGTTTTGAACTCTTAACTCTACTTACAAAATTTCACACTTAAGTCGTTAAATATTATCACAAAACATATAATAAAACCAACTTTTGTCTTCTTTATTTAATAACTATAAAAATTAAAACTACATAAAAGTCCATTTATGGTAATATGAGCAATGTAAGACCATTGTTTAGATTGGACCGAGTTCGATCGGATATTAAGCAACTTTATCCATATAATCGAACATATTTACCTTTTTCCTAATTTAAGTCCTTTCTTAATTATTTTTAAATTAGATGGCCAATTTATGATTTAAGAATTAAGAGTTAAAACAAATTTGGTTTATTAATAAGTAAATAAATAAAATCCACCAGGCTTATTATGTGCTTATAAACACACACCCCAATACACACACTCACACTTCACTCTCCCATGGCTGTGCTCATCTGTACACTTTTCCTCTTCCTTTTCGCCGCTGGCGAAGCCGTATCCACAGATCCGACGCTGAAAACTTACATTTTCCGAGTAGATGGCGAATCAAAGCCGTCGATCTTTCCCACTCATTACCACTGGTACACTTCTGAGTTCACTGAATCCACCAGTATCCTTCATGTATACGACACAGTTTTCAAAGGCTTCTCTGCGTCTGTCACTTCCTCACAAGCTTCCGCCTTGGAAAAGCATCCGTCTGTGTTAGCGGTGTTTGAAGACCGCCGCCGTCAGCTTCATACTACTCGGTCGCCGCAGTTCGTTGGGCTGAGGAACCAGAGAGGTTTGTGGTCTGAATCGGATTACGGTTCAGATGTTATTATTGGCGTATTTGATACAGGAATTTGGCCTGAGAGAAGGAGTTTCACCGATCTGAACCTCGGACCTGTTCCGAAGCGGTGGAAAGGCGTTTGCCAGACCGGAGTGAAATTCACGGCGAGGAATTGTAATAGGAAGATTGTTGGAGCTCGATTCTTCGCTAAAGGACATGAAGCTTCTGGTGGATTTGGAGGTATTGGATTCGGTGGCACGATTAACGATACAGTTGAGTTTCGGTCTCCGAGAGACGCCGATGGCCACGGTACTCATACGGCGTCCACAGCCGCCGGTAGGTACGTTTTTAAAGCTAGTATGGCTGGATACGCTTCTGGAATAGCTAAAGGTGTTGCTCCGAAAGCTAGATTGGCGATTTATAAAGTTTGCTGGAAAAGCGCTGGTTGTTTCGATTCAGATATCCTTGCAGCCTTTGACGCTGCCGTTAACGACGGTGTAGATGTTATTTCTATTTCTATCGGAGGCGGCGACGGCATTTCTTCACCGTATTATCTCGATCCAATTGCAATTGGAGCTTACGGCGCTGTTTCGAGAGGTGTTTTCGTATCCTCCTCCGCCGGAAACGACGGCCCTAACGGAATGTCGGTCACTAACCTAGCCCCGTGGCTCACTACCGTCGGAGCAGGCACAATTGACAGAAATTTCCCGGCGGAAGTTATCCTCGGCGACGGAAGAAAGCTCGCAGGTGTATCGTTATACGCTGGTCCCTCATTCAGCGGAAAAAAATATCCCCTAATTTATCCCGGAAAATCAGGAATTCTATCTGCATCATTGTGTATGGAAAATGCATTGGATCCAAACCTCGTCAGGGGTAAAATTGTAATTTGCGATAGAGGCAGTAGTCCGAGGGTGGCCAAGGGGTTGGTGGTGAAGAAAGCCGGCGGTGTCGGAATGATTCTCTCCAATGGAGTTTCCAACGGTGAAGGACTCGTCGGCGACGCTCATCTCATCCCGGCGTGCTCCGTCGGTTCCGACGAAGGAGACGAAATTAAAGCTTACGCCGCCACCGGCCGCGCAACCGCTACAATCAATTTCCAAGGAACAGTTATCGGAATTAGGCCAGCGCCGGTGGTGGCCTCCTTTTCCGGTAGAGGACCCAACGGAATGAACCCCGAGATTCTAAAACCTGATTTAATTGCTCCGGGAGTAAACATCTTAGCTGCTTGGACCGACGCCGTGGGTCCGACGGGGTTAGATTCCGATGATCGGAAAATGGAGTTCAATATCCTGTCAGGAACTTCAATGTCTTGTCCTCACGTGAGCGGCGCCGCCGCTCTTCTAAAATCCGCCCACCCAGACTGGTCACCAGCGGCAATAAAATCCGCCATCATGACCACCGCAAGCACCGTCAACAAACAGCTCCAACCCATGACAGACGAATCCACCGGCAACGCAACAACACCTTATGATTTCGGCGCCGGTCATCTAAACCTCGACCTCGCCATGGATCCAGGTCTAGTTTACGATCTCACCAATCAAGATTACGTAAGCTTCCTATGCTCAATCGGCTACGGTGCAAAGACAATCCAGGTGATCACTCGATCTCCGGCGGCTTGTCCGATGAGAAGAAAACCAGTCCCGGAAAACTTAAACTACCCATCAATCGCCGCCTTGTTTTCCACCGGGAAAAAGGGGGTTTTGAGGAAGACATTGATTCGAAGAGTGAAGAACGTTGGTGATGTGAATTCAGTTTACAATGTGAAGGTGGAGGCGCCGAAGGGTGTCTCGGTGGCTGTGAGGCCGGGAAAGTTGGTGTTTTCCGATAAGGTTAGGGAGTTGAGTTACTACGTGACGGTGAAAATGGACGGGAGTAGTGTAATGATGGGTGATTCCGGTGCTGTATTTGGGTCACTTTCGTGGGTTGATGGAAAGCATGTGGTTCGAAGCCCTATTGTGGTGACACAATTAGACCCAATGTGATTTGTTTCCTTTTAGGATTTGATTCTAATCGTGTGGTGGTGTTTTGGTAAATTAATCCGATGTAGGCGTGTGTAGGTGGCCAGTTGCCGGAGAGTTTGACCGGAGAAGATAGATTCTCTGCTAGGGGCATCGTGTTTTGCTTTAGGGTCAACTTTTTTTTCTTTATTTTTTTTTTCTTTTGTTTGTTTTTATTTTTCATCGCTTTTTTCATAATTATGTAAAATATAATTATATGGTTTGACGTTATTGCAAATTCCAAAAAATTACAAAAAGAAAACTCAATATTCACTCGTTTTTAACTTTTGACTTTATCTTTTTATTTTTTATTCGAATTATTCGATTGTAATATATTGTAAGAAAATTACATGTATTTAAATAAGCACTACATCGACCATAAGTCAAGTCTTGGTCTTTTTAGTGGATTTAGTAATTATTATTGGACTCATGGAGTAGATAGATTATTAATTTTTATTGTCTAAAAGTAATATTTTGTTTCATAAAATCTTCTCAAGTCTTTAGGGAACAAAACTTCTTTGGTTCTTTCTTTTTTTTATGTAAGTTTGCTTTAAAGAAAGTATTGTTTGAATGATTCCATCTACCTTTCTTTGTATCATCTCTTTTGTATATGGTAATACTTCATTCAGTTCCAAACAGATATAACATTTATGTAGTAGGAACGTTCTACTTAATATACAAGTATGGGTTAATTAATTAGTAAAATTGTTGGATTAGTGTCTAAGTCCGTAACTATATTTGGTATGTATTTGACCCGGTTGTGCATGGTGTTTTTGGGTTGCCTTCACCAAAACAACTTGATATGATAATTTATGGAGAAAGAAAGGTTATTATGGTTTATTAATATACTTATATGAATAATATATTAATAGAGAAATCATATAGTTTAATTAATATTAGACAAGAATTAATTAAGAATTAATTCTGTGGCTAAAAGACATTAATTAATTAAATGAGACTAGAACTGTCAATTGTGTGATAGTTGATATTGGGCTGAGAATCCTTATGGATTAGGGCATGGACGAATTTAAGGAGGAGTCCATCTTAAATTCGTCCAAGGAGGCCTTATTCCAGAAGGTTCTCAAGTTACTTAGGATCTAAGTCATCCAATTAGGGTTTTGACTGAAACCCTAGAAGCTCAAGCAGGGCTAGCAAAATCGGACACTTGATCCCTTGGAAGCTTGGAGCCGACTTTTGCCTCTCATCCTCTCTCCTATACATCATTCTCTTGCTTGTGGTGTTTGTGAGACATTAGAGGTGTTACACTTGTGACACTAAGCTTCTTGAAGATCAAAGGATTCTTGCAACCATTGAAAGGTATCATTTAAACTAGTTCATTATAGATTTCGATTTCAATATATGCTAGATTAGGGTTTCAAGTCTTGGATGAATTGCATGTACAATAGAGAAGCCTAGATCCAAGCATTAGGGTTTTTTTGTATGAGCAAATAGGATTGTTCTTTTGTATAAAACCCATCAGTGGTTTCAGAGACTGGTTGGCTTCTGTTGTATTTGATGCTTTGTGTTTCATTCATGCTTGAAAAATCGAATTTTTGGCCTTCTGTCTGACACACTCGTCGAGCCCCAAAGAGGACTCGCCGAGTAGGATGAACTCGACGAGTCCAGTAAGGGACTCGGCGAGTCGGACAATCAGACAGAGGGATTTTCGGGATTTTATGCCTATTTTGCTGTGGGATAATTACCAAATCGTTTTTAACTGATAAAATACGAATTTTATTAATATTGGATGATTATCCTTGCCAAAATAAGAGATATTTTCAAATTAATTGAATAATTAATTCCTTATATGATAAATGTTAATTAATTGAATTTATTTGATCATTATCTTGCATAAAATTGGATTAGGTCAAAATTAGATAATCACCATAATTAATTGTTTAATTATTTATTTGAATTTTGATCTGGATAGTTTTGAAATGTTTCAAAACTTGCCCTCAAGTTTTGGAATTTAAAATTTTGGATTAAAAGTTTAATTTTGAAATAATTAAATTCCAAACCCTAGAATTTTACAAGTTTAAAATTCACCATATACTATTATATTATAAGAATAATTATTATATATGTATAACTTAAATGTCAGTCTTACCGTTAGTAGGCCTCATTCATGAAGCCGATCTATAAGGGGTGACTCAAAGCAAAGGTAGCAAAGGGTGACTCAATGTTTGTCATAGATTGATGAAACGTGTGTGGTTAACCGGCACGCCGATTAGGTGACTGTAACATTGGGGGCACCATGTATATTTGCATGGTTATTCACACCCTGTTTGTGATCCTCGGTATCCCAGTCACAAACTTGAGGGGCATATCGAGATTTAAACATGCCATTGAAAAGTTCAATGAATCTCAAAACATCTAGGAGTTTTCAATACATTTAAAACTTAATTCTCTTTTGTTTTCATGGTGGAAATTAGTGAATCGTCATTCACTTACCTTCAAATTATTTGCAATTTAAATTACGAC